TGAGATGGCATTATGACCTAGATTTGTTTTTCTTATTACTTAGCACTTAAGTGTTGTCCTTTAAGTAAGTCTTAAATTTAAGAGCTTACCCTCAAAGAAATGATGGACATAAAGAAAAAGAAACTATCATGTAAGCTTAGTGTCCATTTTAGGCTTTTCCTTGCTAAGGGCTGTTGTTGTTAAGTGCCATCAGTCGGTTCCAACTTAAAGCAACCCTGTGTACAGTAGAATGAAGCATTACCTGGTCCTCTTCCATCCTCACAATCATTGCCATGTTTGAGTCCATTGTTGCAGCCACTGTGTCAGTCCATCTCTTGAGAGTCTTCCTCTTTGCCTCTGACCTTCTACTTTACCGAGCATGATGACCTTCTCTGGGGACTGAGTCTTCCTGATAACATGTTCAGATTATATGAGACGAAGTCTCACCATCCTTGCTTCCAAGGAGCATTCTGACTGGACTTGTTCAAAGACAGATTTGTTCATTATTCTGGCAGTCTGTGGTACATTCAGTATTCTTTGCCAACACCATAATTCGAATACATTAATTCTTCTTTGGTTCCCTTATTCATTGTTCAGCTTTCTCATGTATATGAGGCAATTGAAAACACCACAGCTTGGTTTAGGTACATCTTAGTCCTCTAAGTGACATCTTTGCTTTTTAATACTTTAACAAGTTCTTTTGCAGCACATCTGCGCAGTGCAGTATGTTCTTCAATTTCTTGACTGCTTCCATGAGCATTGATTGTGGATCCAAGTAAAATGAAATCCTTGATGACTTCACTCTTTTCTGTATTTATCATGATGTTACTTATTTATCCAGTTGTAGGATTTTTGTTTTCTTTATGTTGAGGTATAATCCATACTGAAGACTAGTCTTTGACCTTCATCAGTAAGTCAAGTCTTCTTCACATCAAGCAAGGTGTGTGTCATCTGCATTATCACAGATCTTCCTTCCAGTCCTGATGCTGCTTTCCTCTTCATGTAGTCCAGCCTCTCAGATTATTTTGTAAGGATAATTACGTTTAGTGAAAGTTTATTTATAGAAGGAAATTTTCTTTGTTGGTTACCAGGGGTGGGAGGGGAGGGGAGGGAACGCTGTTAGATAGATAGAGATAAGTATTGATTTGGGTGAAGAGAAGGGCAATGTACCAAATGTGAGTGACCAATAATGGCAGCACTGAGGATGAGAAAGACATAGAGAGGTACATAGGAGGTACAGACAACAAAGATGAACCCTTTTGTACATACAGTACTGCGTTGTCCGTGAAGGCTAACATGGATAGATGGGTGGACAGGCTGAACGATTAGGTATGTCTATGAAATGGGGAGTGTATCCAAGAACATATATAGGGTTGGCAGACAATGGTCCTATAAGTTTATGTGAGTGATCAGAATTCCCAGGTGTATAGTAGAGCTGACAAGGGGCAAGGTTGTGGTCACTGCTTGGTCACAGCCAGCTACCCGAAGAGACCAAATAGTTGAACCTGCGGGGTTGGGACCATAGTCGCAGGGAACATCAAGTTCAATGGGCATAACATACTATATAAGACATTGTTCCACCTCCTACCTTGGCGAGTAGCGAGTGGGATCTTAAAGCTAGCAAGCTGCCATCTAAATGCATTGATGGGTCTCTCCTCATCCAAAGCAAAGAAGAATGAAGAAAACCAAAATTCATGGAAACAATTAGTCCTAGCGACTGGTACACCATCTGATCTGCTGGCTATGCGAGCATGAGACCAGAAGAACTAGATGGTGCCCAGCTACCACTGTCATCCACTTGGAAGGGGATTTTTTTTTTTTTTTTTTTTTTTTGAGAAAAAAAAGTGAGGGGCCAGGTTTGGTTTGCTGGTCTGATAGAGCTTGGTGGAACCACTGAGACTATGGCCCCTAGCTGCCCTTCGAGTCTGGAAAGTGAACCCACACCGGTGGTTTCCAGCCAAACAAAAGACAGGCATATGAGTTGAACATTTACCTCAAATAGATACATTCCTTGGAGAGAACAATCATGGGAGAAAGAAGGGCTGCTTATGCACAGGGAGACAGCTCAGGGGGCAGGAGTTCATGGAGGGATGGACACTGGGAAGAGGTAACTGTGGGGAGGAGGTGAGAGGGGAGCCTGTCATGAGACAAAGTGTATGTGAACTACTGTATGGAAAGTAAATTTGCTCTGTAAATCTTCACCCAAATCACAATTAAAAAAAAAAAAAAAAAAGCATATAAAAAAAAAAAAAAAAAAAGCATATCTATCTTGAAAAATATGTGTATTAGTTTCTAATGAATAGCAGGAAAGGAGCAATTATTATAATAGACATGTACCTCTCGTCTTTTAGAGTTCTTGAAATTTCTTCTGATGTAAGTCACCACATATTGCTTGTGATACCCAAGGTCTTAGACGTTTTCTTTGATTTCTAATAAGCCCTAACAATATTCAGTTAATACTTATTACATTTAGGAACTCCACAATTTCAATTCATAATCAAATATTCTTCAAACAGGTATACTTGTGTCTACATTTGTCATGTTGAGTTTTAAATTCTAAGGACACATTAAAATTAATCAAGTATATATTAAATAGAAGTTTTTGCCATGAAGTATGTACAACATTCCATTTATACGGTACCCTTTAAATAATATGCCCAACTCAAAAAAACCAAACTCACTGCCGTTGAGTTGATTGCGATTCATAGCGACTCCTCCCTGGGTTTCCAAGGCAGTATCACTACGGAAGCAGATTGCCCCATCTTCTTTCTGAGGAGTGGCTGGTGGGTTTGAACCACCAGCCTTCTGGTTAGCAGTCATGCCTTGGCATTGAGCCACCAGAGCTCCCTATAATATGTCCAGAAGGGTAGAAAATATTTTAATATGTTTACATTCAGACATGTTGGATGACAAGTAAATACAGCGTTATTTATCATCATTGTTGAGATGATAAGAATTATGTAAGAAATACAAACATTTGTTTTATTTTACTTAGAATGAAATTATTCCTATCTTTCAAATATAAAATGCGTCTTCAATTCATCAGTTACAACGGTGCTTGAAGGTGCTTAATAAAGTGTTAAATACTATTTGTGTAATAAAATTAGTAGTGGCTTGTAAAGTTTTATTACAGCATAGCTTTCTCAAGCCAGATTTTAAAAGTGATTCATGGAACAGATTTGCAAAAGGGCAATTTATTTATGTAAACTGGCATATTTAATAATAACTTCTGTGCTTGTTTATATGAAGTTAGAACTCATTTATGGGACCTTTTCTGATGTTCTAGTGAGATGTGCACACATAGATGTCCCTATGTGGGATTCCAGCCCCATAAATTTGTCAATTTGTTGGCTTCAGTAGTTAGCCTGGTTTCTAAGATCATCTTAGTAATTGACATACTATTGGAAATAAAGTTAAGTTTTTTCCTTATTATAGGGATAGCTTCAATTTTTAGGAATATGAATCAATTCACAGTTGACTGTAAGCCAATTTCCCTTTCACTCTAACTCCAGCACACATGAAAAACACACTTGCTTCCTAAGTGCCTGGTGAATCTGTAATGATTAATTCTTCTCATTATTTTGCTGCAAAGTCTCATGACCCTCTGTGATGATTCGATCAGCCACTTAGAGCTTATGCATATTCATATCTCTGTGCTCCTGCCGCAGTCGTTCAGGTCTCCTTCACTGACTGGTATGTGCTTGGTGCAGTGATTGAGCTGCAGTAGATTGATTACTCTGGGGAGCTGTCAGGCCTTTAAAGGTGAAAACATATCAGTCCTGTTAATTAGGAAACAAAAGCTCTAGTGGCAAGTTCAGCAGTCGAATGTTTCCAGGATAGAAAAAGACAGAAAGTATGATTTTTTTTTTCCTCTCCATGAACCTCATTTACTTTTTAAAATTTGGATTTGGTCTATATCAGTGGTACTGGGCAACTATGAAGAGTAGCATGCTTTTATGAATTTTCATGGAAAGCTAAATTAGAGGTATTATTTGTGATCTCATAAATATGATAGTTCAGAACCTATCTAAGCTTATATACTTCTTTACCATTGACAGTATTTAAGTAAAATATTTATAGGAAATGTGATTATATATAAACACATAGTTATGTTAATATATAATACTTGTGGGTCAGTTTAGTATTTAGTGGATTAATTTGGTCTGTAGTATCCTAACACTAATGTTTTATCAATTTAGTGGTATACTATAATGGAATAGGATGTGGCATAAAAGTTGAGCTTACTTTTATGGCTTTATCATAAACATCCTTTGAGTCTTTCCATCTTAAACTGTATATTAAGTAATACATTGTCATGGCAAAAAGGATTCTGTATGGAACAGTGTCCTCTAAAAGATAGTTTCAACACGGAAGACTGTGTCGTTTATCATCTCAGGTGTGGTGTTCCTATGTTGTAATAATCCTCCCCTCCCCCTCGATGGCCATGAATTTTTTTAAGTTATAATTCACATACCATACAATTCATCCATTTAAAGTGTTCAATCCAGTGCTTTTTCATATATTCACAAAGTTGTGCACTATCACCACTATCCAATTCCAGAACATTATGATCACCCTAAAACAAAATGCAGTACCCACTAACAGTCACTCTTCCTTTTTCCCTACTATGCATCCTTCCCTCAGCCCATGGCAACCACTAATTGCCTTTCTATCTCTATTAAAAAAAAAAAAACTCGCTGCTGTTGATTCTGAGTCATAGCGACTCCCATTGGGTTTCCAAGGCAGTAGATCTTTATGCAAGTAGACTGCCCCATCTTCCTTCTGCAGAGTGGCTGAGGGTGTTTGAGAGGGTTTGAACTGCCAACCAGAGCTCTTTTTCTATCACCATAGATTTGCCTATTCTGGGTATTTCATATAAATGGAATCATGCAATAATGTGGCCTTTTGTGTCTGGCTTCTTTCATCTAGCATAATGTTTTCAGGTTTTATAGTGATTTATATGTTTTTTTTTAACTATTGCTTGAAATAATTTGAACCACTGTTTCTCCTTTATGTTCTAGGCATTTATTAATACAGCAAAAGAAATATATGAAAAAATCCAAGAAGGAGTCTTTGACATTAATAATGAGGTACATAACATATTACTGGCTATTATTAATTTAGATTTGAATTTTAATTACTACTTAGATCCCAGATTTTACTTCTTATTTTAATTTCTGAGATGGAGCTATGATATTAGTTGACACACTAGTTTATAATCACCTAACTGAAAACTTGGTATAGGTAGTATGATGGTTAAATGTTTATGTTATAGTAGTCACTTGATGAAAGTAGATTAAAATAAGTGACCCTTTCCATTTATTGCAAACAATGCAAAGTAATACAAATTCCCAAAGAGAGTGAAAATCTACTTTCAACCACATGTCCATATGGTGTTGTCTGCTTTGGGGAATAATTTTCTAGTGTAAAAACCCATGTACTGTGTTACTAATGCAAGATGCTCTCTCTATTTGCTATGAAAGCAAGAAAGATCCAATTTGGAAATTATACCCAATACAGCATAACAGGTTTCAGGAGACTAAGTTAATATATGTAATTGGCATTGGCTTTTGTAAAGTTATTTTGATCTAGTTTTGGTCAACCTGATTAGGTCATTGTTACCAAAAGTCATTGTTTTGACCTAAATCTTCACTATGTATTTGTCCTTACTTAATTTCAGAATGTTTAGATAGATACAGCATATTAATTTTACATAAATATTTTTACCATTCTATATTAAAGACTTTACTTCTGAGAGAAAAACTTTGGCTCATTCACCTACTGCAGTTAGGAAAAAATTGCTTTAGGAAGCCTTTGCTTGTGTGTCTCTTGGCCTGTATATAAATAAAGGTCTCTTATTCACCTTAATATTCTTTGCTAAAACAAACAACAGTTTGTCTGAGGTTTCCAAAAGGTACTTGATTTTCTCATTATTCTTATTTCAATTAGTGCAGTTTCTAAATCCTATCTCTTTGGTTTATATGGCAGTAGATCTTGAGTTAATTTAAAGGTGCCACTGTTCAGTGACTAATGCTGTATAAATTGAACAGTAATTGGGCTGCTATTTAAAAAAGAGCATTCATTGTTTCTAGTTTCATATAGTAGCTGACTGCTTTACTGTGCCTTGTAGTGGAGCTTTGATAATATGCTGTCAAGAACCAACAGTCCGTGCTGTTTATTTGGCCTAATGCCAAGTCTGACTCTTGATTCCTCAAGAAGTTGCTACCAGCCCAGAGGGGGCAAAACCAATGAGCCATAGGGCATGGCTTTTATTAAAGAGGAGTCAAAGGAGCGAAAAGAAACCACATCAGCTGCTGTCAATACTGAGCTAGTGCCAGAAACCCCAAGGCTACTACTGTTGCAGAACAACTGCCAAGCACTATAAATCTGAGATTTACTGTGACGTAAAGTTTCCTTAAGAGCTTAATTTCTGAGGCTACTGTATTACTTTTCTCAAAGTGTTGTATTTTTAGTTAAAATCCACTTGAGAGAATGAGGGTTAAGATAGAAGTGTGAGTTTGATGAATGAAAGAACTACTCTGTGTGTGGGTTCTTGGCAAACTGCCATGTCTTTGGGGATCATAGAAATTATTGATGACACAGAACACTCGTATGCCCTTAGCCCATACAGCTGATGCAACAGGGAACAGAAATGCCGTCTAGAGAAAAGATTGTACATTGTACTTAGAGCAGTATAGATTTTGAATGTTTTCATCCTTTAAAGATTGTCTGCAATGATTGTTTTAAACAATTTCTACATTATGAGAATTCCCCAAAAAGCAATATTATCCATTTGTTGTTTACCCCGTACCTGGAATGGTAAAGAATCTTTTCCTCCTACACTTCAATAGGCTTTATTTTGTACAGTTTTATGTTTACAGAAAAAGAATTATTTTCAAAAACATTTCCTCATTATTTTAAGGAAAGGACCCATACCCTAAGAGCTGTTGCTTTTTTTTCCCTGTTATTGCCAAAATGATATGATACATTTTTTCTGAGTCATTTGGCAAAATGGTATCATTAATAATTAAATGAATGCTCAAAAACATCTAATTAAATTGTACTGTCTGGTTGGATCCAACTATATTTATTGTCCTTCTCTCTTTTATTTCAGGCAAATGGGATTAAAATTGGCCCTCAGCATGCTGCTACTAACGCAACACATGCAGGTAGTCAGGGAGGACAGCAGGCAGGGGGAGGCTGCTGTTGAGTCTGTGTTTGCTGTCTCGCTGCCCACATGGGGCCCCTCACTTGTTCTTTCACCCTCTCTCCTCCTGCTCAGCTGAGACATGAAACTATTCGAAATGTCACAGAAGACTTTAATCCTTCAAATTCTTGTATAACTTTGAATAAATGGTTAATGTTCACTAAAAAAAGACAGATTTTGGAGATCATATTCATATCTATTTACATTTGATTTCTGGGTCAGTTGATGTGATTATTTTTGTTAAATGTTGTCTTGTGCCCTTGACTACGAACTCGATTGTATTAAACACTACAGAGTCATCTTGGGTATTTTAAATTGGTTTGTGTAGTTAGGTTTCCCAACACCTGTGGTTACCTAATGTTTAATATTATAGAACTGTCCTCAAAAAGTTTGTCAATTTTCAAGGCTATAAGGAAAAACAGAAGGACTCTTAATTCTGTATCATTTACTTTCTGTATATATAGTTTAATAACCCGCTTGGGTGTAATTTGCCAAGCTTGAATTCTTTCATGCGTTTGCATAAATTCTATGCTGTTTAGAGCTTAAAGCTATGGAAGCATTGTTAGGAATTGCTTGGACGCTGAATTTTAAACTTTTCAACATTGTTAACAAGCATGTTCTTCTTTTCCTGTCACTAGTCCAAGAAAAATATGCTTAATATATATTACTAAAGGCTATATATGTGTTAACCTGTTTTAATGCCAAAAGTTTGCTATTTGTCCACAATTTCCTTAAGACTGCTTGGAAATGGATTTGTTTGCCTTAATGAATACTGTTGGTTAAAAACACAGTATAATGAGTGAAAAAGGGAGGAAGCAAGGAATCACTACATCTAAGCAGCTCCAAGAAGAATGGATACCCACCTTTAGATGGCACGTTATGAGGACACTCATCTTTCCTTAAACACAATAATCCTTTTCTTTCATTCAGATAATTTCTAAGTGTATTTTTCATGCAGGATAGTTTTTCAACCTTAATGTACAGTGACTGTGTAAAATTTTTATTTCAGTGGCAACCTGTAATCTTTAAAATATGGTAAGCATCTTGTCTGTTTTGAAGGGGATATGACAATAAATCTACCAGAGGGAAAATCCTGTTAAAACGTAGAAAAGCTTAGTAATTTACTCATTGTGGTGGTTTTATCTTTGTTGGTTTTTTTGTTTTTTCTTTTTTCTCCCTTGACCTATAATGAAATTGTTATAGCAGTGCAAAATAAAACCCTATGTATAAAAGTGTTCTTTTTATTATTAATATTATTATTACCACATCTTTCTCAAAATACATTTTTAGTCCATTCACAGCTTTTACTATAATTAAGCATGTCAGAAAGGGTCAGAATGCCTTATACCCTTTTCAAGAGATTAGTGAAATGTGATAAAACTCTTTACATTACTTGTATTGAAATTCTTTTTGTTAATGATGATGTAAGCAAGTGTTTACTTCTAAACTAGCACAAAAGAACATTTGAACTCTGAGGAGGCATGCAGAAGTTCTAAGTGTGAAACTACTTACTCTCAGTTCGCTTACTGACTCCAGCTTTACAAGTCTGCCCTGAAAATTCCCCAGTACTTTGTCAAAGCTTTAACATTGCTTTTGTGAGAAATGACCTAATACTATCATAGTTGTTTTTAACCAGCTCCTGGAAGGCAGAGGAAAAAGCAAAAGGAAATCTAGTTTCATGAACACTTTCATTATAAACTGTTTTTCCTTAAAGTGGTTATACCGAATTCACTGATCGTACCAATTATTCTTTACTGATAAGTAGAAAAGATTAAGACAACTACAGTTAAACCTGTGAGAGCTGAAACGCACCAGGACTGCTTTTTCTGGGTCTCAGAAGGTTTCTGCCCTCGGTGGAGTGCTGTTGTACTACTTTTCTATTGCTCATTTTAGTGGAAAATAGTGGATTTTCCTCCTCTGACAGGTCTCTGCCTAACACAGGTTCTGGCTTTCTTATATTTTACTGTATGTTCTGGTGTAAACCAAAGTCCAAAAAACCTCACTGCCATTGAATCAGTTCCAACTCATACCCACCCTATAGGACAGAATGAAAAATGAAGAATAAGATAAACTTATAGTAAAAACAACTGGACAGCACATATATTTTAATACTCTTAAATGATCAAGCCCTTAAATACCTGTCCTACCTGACCTTGATCTTGGGCAGTGGGATAACTGATACGCTACTCTGTAGTTTTATTACTTACTTTATAAGTTTTATCTACTGTTGCCTTAGGCTAGGTTCTCTAGAGGAGCAAAACCAGTGAAGTGTATTACATACGTGTAAGTAGAGATTTGTTTCGTGGAAATGGCTCATGCAGTTATGGAGGCTGGCAATTCCCAAACCCATGGGAACGTCAAGCTGGAGGCTTCTGATTCAAGTGGTTGCAGGGACTGGCAAACACAAAATCTGCAGGTCCAACAGCAAGCTGCTGGCTCACATCCTGAACTGGAGGTCAGAGGCTGATTTGTCAGGATCTAGAGAGGGTAGTCTTTGCTAGAGCATCCATACATATTGGATACCACCAAGGGAAACTTCCTGTTCAGCTGATTGGCTGCTCAGATCAGACCCCAAAATGGAGGATGATTACATAATAATCTGCCAAACCACTGAAAATCATGCCCTAGCCAAGTTGATATATAACCTTAACCATCACAACCATTACAGAATGTATGTTATGAATCCTTTACATTAATTGACAATGACATGTGATTTCCACTCATCTTTTATGATAAATAATATAATATTGGCATCTGTAATTGAATCTGTAATACTCTGGTTAGTTTGTGTCACATCTATGAATAGAGTTTAATAACTAGAAATTTAATAGCTAAAAAGTAAATAGAACTTAATGTCTCAACATGTAACTTTCCAAAATTTTCTTCATAAAGACAGTGTTATTTGTCTTCTGAATTAAGACAACTGAAGAGTAAATTTTTGAAAGAGTGGCACATAATTATACAGTGCAAACAATATATGGGCACTGACTTGAATCTTCATACACTGTTTTAAGGTCTTTTTTTTTTAAGCCTTTACACAAGGTAATAGCACCTATTTGTTGGCTGATACTGAAGAGGGTAAAGATGTAAATGATACCAAAATGTGTCTCATCACTCAAAAAAATGATCTCTGTCTTATTTTGGAACACATTCCCTCTGTGTTCAGTTCAGAGGTTGGTAGCTTGGGGTTTGAGTGGATGACTTGAAAGAACAGTAGAAGATAAACCCATTTCGTAATGAACAAGAATAAGCAAACACAATTGTTTCTTACAATTCATTCTAGATGTGCTTTGGGGTTTAAATTAAAATAGAGCCTAACTCCATAAGAGAGCATCTCCTATTCCATTGGTATATACCAGATAATATTACTTAATAGAAGTCATGGTAAGAAACTATCTTAAAATGTGAGTGTATATTCAGTCTTGGTTAGATTTGCAAAATCTTTTTTTTTTTTTTTTTTAATTGTGATTTGGGTGAAGATTTACAGGGCAAAGTCAGTTTCCATACAGCAGTTCACATACACTTTGTCTCATGACATTGACCACCATTTACCACAATGCAACAGCTCTCCTCCCACTCCTCCCAATAATTACCTCTTCCCTATGTCTATCCCTCCATATCCTCCTGCCCCCTGAGCTGTCTCCTGGTGCATAAGCAGCCCTTCTTTCTCCCATGATTGTTCTCTCCAAGGAGTGTGTCTACTTGAGGTAAATGTTTAACTCACTTGCCTGTTCTTTTTGGCTGGAAACCACAGGTGTGGGTTCAATTCCAGACCTGAAGGGCAGCTAGGGGCCATAGTCTCAGTGGTTCCACCAGGCTCTATCGGACCAGCATACCTGGTCTCCCCCCCACACCCTTTTTTTTTTTTTCTCCAAATGATTTTGAGTTTTGTCCACATTGTTCTCCCTCTCTATCCAGGATCTCCTACATAGATCCTCTTCCAAGTAGTTGACATTGGTAGCAAGGCACCATCTAGTTCTTCTCATCTCATAGTCGTATAGGCTGCAGATTGGATGGTGTATCAGTCGCTAGGACTGATTGTATCCATGAGTTAGATTTGCAAAATCTTAAGGCCAATTCTTAAAAATTGTAGGAAAAAGAATCAAAAACACACAGAAAAATGGAAAAAGATACCATCAGACAGTTCATTAAAAAAAAAAAAGTCCGTCATAATTAGAGAAATGCAAATTTAAACTGTGATACTGTATCTCCCCTATGAGATTAGCAGAAGTTTTAAGCACATTCTGTTCATGAGCCTGTGGGGAGAGGCACTGTCATATCTTATGGCAGGGAATGCAAACTAGTACTACCTGTGTGGAGTGGAATTTGATAATACCTGATAAAACTATATACAGTTGCTCCTCTTTATCTGCAGAGGTTATGTTCCAAGACCCCCTAGTGGATGCTTGAAACTGCAGGTAGTACCAAACCCTATATATATACACACACACATTTTTTCCTATACATGCTTATCTATGATAGTAAGTTTATAAATTAAGCACAGTAAGAGTTTAACAACAATAATAACAGTTATAACAATATACTGTAATGAGAGTTAGCAACCTCAGCACAGAACTTTTTTTTTCCTTACTGAGAAATTTCACCTTTTGCTTAAAGGAAGCACTTTATGACTTCTCTTTGGCATATCCAAATTGGCAGCATCACTACTCTTGTGCTTTGGGGCCATTAAATAAAGTGAGAGTTACTTGAACTTGTGGACTGCACTCTGGCAACTGTCGATCTGATAACTGAGATGGGTACTAAATGACTAAAGGGAGGGTGGTAGCACATACAGTGTGGATATACTGGACAAAGGAATGATTCATGTCCAAGACATCAGGATGGCACAGGATTTCATCACACTTCTCAGAACGCACACAATTATTTATTTCTGAGATTTTCCCTTTAATATTTCCAGTCACTGCAACTACTGGTAACTGAAACCAGATGAGGGAAGATGATATATACACTTGCCTTTTGATCCAGCAATCCCATTTCTAGGAATCTGACCTGTTGATAATTTTCAACAATCCAAAACCACATAGGGACAAGGGTACTCTGTAGCAATATTTGTTACTGCAAGATACGGGAAATCACCTAAATGTTTTTTACATAGAATGAGAGAGTCTATAAACTACATAGAAGAGTGATTCAATAAACTGTGGTATATTCACACATTGGATTACTACACAGCTGTTAAAATGAAAAGGATGAGGATGGTCTCTCTGAACTTAAAACTGATTTCTGGAATAAATTGTTAAGGGGGAAAGCAGAATGCAAAAGAATGTCTACAGTTTGCTATCCATCATGTTACAAAGAGGACAGTATAAGGAAATACATGTTTATCTGCTCATCTGTGGAAAAGAAGCAACCAGAAACTAATGGGACTGGTTACCTAAGAAAAGGGTGCAGGGTGGAGAGAAAGGGCTGAGAATGAGGCACTTGGAACAAGGGAAGAATGAGACTTTCTTCAGTATACTTTGTTTTATTGTTCCAACTCCTAGCACTAATGATTCACATGCTCCAAAAATGAAAATCAACAATGATATGCAAGAAACTCAATGTAATACAAAGTAGTGAGTGAACCTAACTGTATTACAGATGAATAACATCTTCACTGAAGTGGGTAGGGAAGAAAACTATCATAAAAGTTTAGGAAAAAAATATTTTGACTATACCATAAGGCTAAGACATAACTACACAAATATTACACTCTAGTTAGTGAATTTATTTTTCTTAGGTATGAATTAGCAATTCTGAAACTACCTTATTCATACATGCTCGATCAAATGTATTATGAATAATGAGAGCAAGTGTTTTTGTTGAGAATATACACAGTTGTTGTTATGTGCCAACGAGTTGGCTCCGACTTACAGCGGCCCTTCCTTGGGTTGCCGAGGCAGTATCACTACAGAAGTAGATTGCCCAGTCTTCCTCCTGAGGAGTGGCTGGTGGGTTTGAACCGCCAGCCTTCTGATTAGCAGTCAGGTGCCTTAGGCACTATGCTACCAGAGTTCCTCTACACAGCAGAACGTACATTGATTTCAACAGTTTCTGCATGTACAATTCAGAGACATTGATTACATTCTTCAAGGTGTGCAACCGTTCTCACCATTCTCTTCCAAATTGTTCCTCCCCCATTAACATGAACTCCCTGCCCCCTAAACTCCCTATCTAACCTTCCAAGTTGCTGTTGTCAATTTGATCCCATATAGCTAGCTCTTAAAAGAGCGCAAGGCTCAGGGCTGACCTTCCTTTTAAGCTGAATTAGTGTTTGATTTAAGGGGATAGTCTTGATTTAAAGTTCAAAGATTATCTCAGGGCAATAGTTTTCAGGGGCTTGTTTACCTCCGTGGCTCCAGAAAGTCTACAGTCCCTGAGAACTTGAAATTCTGTTCTGTGTTTTCTCTGTTTTTTTAAACCAGTATTAGTCTAAAGAAATTTTCATCAGAGCATTCAATAATGGTAGCCAGGCACCACTCAGTTCTTTCTGGTCTCATAACAAAGGAGGCAGTTGTTCATGGAGGCAGTTAGCCACACATTCCATTTTCTCTTCTTATTTCTGACTCTTTCCTTGATTGCTCCAGGCTAAAAATCAGTTGTTTTACTTGAGATGGCCTCTTGGAAAGTTAAAAGATCCCAGGCAGTGTGCAGCAAAGTAGGAGGTAGAAGAGAAGCACTAAACTATGGTATTAGGCCAGTTAACTAGGATATCCCATGAAACCATGACCATAAACCTCCAGACCAAGACAAGAAATCCCATGAGGTGTTTTGGAGGGGGAA